GGTGGTCTCACCCTCGGCAAATGGCTAGAAGGTTGTCTCGCCAAACGAGTGGTCTCGGCCTTTTAGGTAGAATTTTTTATTTTTCCCGTACAAAAAACCTTCCTACTATAATATGGGGTCTATTGGTATATATATATATAATCTATAAATACAAATATATTTATATATTTTAATATATATTTAAATATTGATATATTGATATATTTATATTGATATATTGATATATTTATATATTGATATATTTATATATTTATATATTTATATATTTATATATTTATATATTTATATATTTATATATTTATATATTTATATCTTTATACATTTATATATTTATATATTTAAGAAAAAATTAAAAATTTAAATATTAAATGATAAAATAATATTATATTTTTCAAAACAAATATTAGAAAAAGATTTAAAAATATATATAAATTATATTTACATGTAGAAAATATTAAAGATATATATATTTATATCTTTATATATTTATATATTTATATCTTTATATATTTATATATTTATATATTTATATATTTATATATTTATATATTTATATATTTATATATTTATATATTTATATATTTATATATTTATATATTTATATATTTATATATTTATATATTTATATATTTATATATTTATATATTAATATCTTTATATATTTATATCTTTATATCTTTATATATTTATTTATATATTTATACATTTATATCTTTATATATTTATATATTTAAGAAAAAATTTAAAATACAAATATGAAATATTAAAAATAATATTATATTTTTAAAAACAAATAGTAGAAAAAGGTTTAAAAACATGTATAAATTATATTTACATGTCCAAAATATTAAAGATATCCACATTTAAAAAAATACTAAAAAATATTAAAAAAGTATACCTTAAATTGATGAAAATATTTAAAAAATATATATTTCTTAAAGTATTAAAAAATATTTTGTAATATATAAGTTAAAAAAATTATCATTAAAATTTTTAAAAATTATTAGTTTTGTAATTTATACACAATGAAAATAAATTACAAATATTATAATATATTGATCTATTAGTATACTATATTTGTATTCTAATTTTAATTAAACTAAAATTACGTTAATAATATATAATAATATACGAGGGGATAATAAATTTAATTCAATTACTTATATATATATATATATATATATATATATATATATATATATATATATATATATATATATTTTAACTTCTCACATGCTACATTTTTTTTAAACTCTATCATTTTTACTACATTATCATCATCATCTCCTTCCATATTCTATTTTATCTTTATAATAATTAGTCTTCTTTTATAAAATACTTTATTTTCTATTTTTATTATTTATTTTCTTATAATTTAAATAATTAATATTATTTTAACATTTATTTTTATGATTTTTACTATAATAAATCAAATTAAATGGTTCGATAATATCAATTAATTAAAATCATCACATCAAAAGCTTAGATAACTACATTAAAATTACTAATTTTAAAAATATAAAATATATTTAAAAAAAACTCAAATTATAGATTGAAAATAAAATAGAATAAACAAATACTCTTTACTTTATATTATATTTAAGTGTGTGCACAAATGTTGACCTTCTTAACTATAAATAAACAGTAGAAAAATATAAAGATAGAATATGAACAAGTGAATTTTGAAGATAAAGACTATTTTTATATAAATTTATTCTAGTATATCAATTAACAATAATAATACATAAAATTTAAAACTAAACTAAAAAAAGTAAGTTTAAATTTATGAAAAAATACATTACTAAAAGTATCATATTATATTAAGGTTTTCATTATTTTTGTTAATTATAAATTTAAATGTGTTTCATAAATAAAGTTATAAATTTAAATGTATTACCACTTTTGATCCATCATAAACAAAAATAAATAGTCTCTTATAAATGTTGTTCTATTTTAATCAATCATTATATTTGTTTTATATATGAATTTGATGACTTATCATATTATTAAAATTTTGGATAAAATAATTATGTATAATACTTCTTTAGTATATCATGTTTTTAAATTTTCTAATAGAGAAAAAGTTTCAGAATTCAAAATGTTAAATACTTTTAAATATTAAAATTGACTTTATAAAAAATTAGGAAAAAACAATTAATCTAAAAATATAATAATGATAAAAATATTATAAAAAAGGGTTCAAAAGTGTATTATAATATTTTCAGTTTTAGTTTAATTATATTTTTAATTCTCAAAGTAGAAAAATATATTATAATTATTTTAATTTAATAAAATATAATTTAAATTTTTAATACTAAAATTAAAAGATTAAATGATAATAAATTTAATTCTTTAAATTTAGTATTTAGAAACTAAAATTATAGTTTATCTGTTTTAAAAAATTAAAATAAATATTTAAAAATAAAAATAAAAACTGGTATTATCTTAAATTTATTAAAAGTATAATTAAATCTCTATTTTCTTATGCAATTTTAGAAATTTTTTAATGAAAATCCAATATATAAAAAAGTTGAAATTTTAAAAAGGCACAACCTTAACTTACATTAATTGTTTTTTTGAAAAAACTGACAAGAAAAACTTGGTTTTGAAAAAAAAAGTTAATAATTTTTAAGTTATTTAAGTGATGAAGTTTCTAAATGTGATCTATAAATTTATTGAGCAAAATTGGATTGAATATAAATTTAAATATATTTTTAATTTATTTAAATATGATATATTTTTAGTATTTATAAAATATATTAATTTTAAATTTTTAACTTTTCTAGCCATCTATTTTTAATCTTTTTTATTAATTATGTTAAAAATGAAAAATATTAATTAGTATAATTAAACTAAAAAATATTTTAACTATAGGTAAATATATTTTTATAAATAATTTAATTAAATAATATATTTATTATCTAATGTATATTGATATAAATTTTTTTTTGGTATATCAATTCTATGAAAACAACCATGGTTAACTAATTAATAATAATAAATCAATAAATTTAAAAATTAGATTAAAAATAAAATATTATAAAATAAAATTGTAATAATTTGATTGAAATTGTAATTTTTTAATGAATTAAATTAATAAGGAATTAAAATGTGATAATTTGGTGTGTTTAATTTTTTTAATATAAATTTTTAAAATATAATTTAATTTCAATTGAAATTTTCAATTGAAAAATATATTAAAGAATATTTGTTATTAAACTTTTCTTAAACAATGTATTGAATAGTTAATATCACTCTAGTCTTAATTTATTATAATTTAAATTTTTAATAAATTTGATTTATTTTTAATAATATTTTTATTTTAGTAATTTAAAATTAAAGTTAATCTTCATTTTGTTAATATTAAGACCAAAGCTTATTTTTAAATTATATTTTAAAAATTAAATTATTTTAAAAAAATAAATTACTTTTAAAAAATAAATTGTAAAAAATATACTAAAACAATTAAAGTATATTTATAAAAAAATAAATTTAAATATAATAAAAAAATAATGTTTATTAGCGACCAATTTAAATCGGTCAGCTATTTTCTCATTAGCGACCGATTTCAATTTGGTTACTATTTCAATTTGTAATTCGGTCACTAAATCAGTCGCTAAATGATTTTTTTATTTTAATATGGAATAACCACCGATTTAGCGACCGAAATTTTGCGACGCAAATTATTGGTCGTTATTTCGGTCGCTAAATAAAAAATTAAAACCAATTATTTCGATAGCTAAATTGATCATTAAATTGGGACCATATTAAATTAGTCGCTAAAACGGTTGCTAAATTGCAACAGAATTAACTCGATCACGAATTAAATCGATTATTAATTACGACTAAATTAAACTGATCGCTAAATCGATCGTAATTGCGACTAAAATTAAATCGGTCACTAATTATGACCGAAAAAATTTGATCGTTAAAAATATTTTTTCTTATAATGATACTATGTTAAAGATAGTCTTGCATGGGCTAGCAAAAATTTATTTTAAGTGAGACTCACTTAAGTCATTATCTTTCATTCAAGCAGCATTCACTTATACAAGTGTCTATCAGTTAAATGAGAGGCGTTTAAACGACAATATGATCACCTAAGCATATTTCACTTAAATGACTTGAAAGACACTTCGATTATAGAACAAACCTTCGTATATAATACTCAATACTCATTTGAATGCAAACTTAAGTATCAGCTTAAAGCAAATGTTTTTTTCTATTTAAGCGAGATTAACTTAATACGTTCTTCTTCTAACTTAAGCAAGTTAAATTATGTAACAAAAATTATTTGTGACAAGTGTGATGATATATATTCCATCATAATTTATAATTTATGACGATGTCATAAATTTTTTGTATGATGCTTAATTTTGTGATGATTTGACTTTTCGTCACAAAGTTTATAAAAAAAACAGTTTTGGTGACATTTTATATAATTTTGTGATTGAATTTTGTCTGTAAGAAAAATTATTTTGTTTAGTCGAGTTTAAACCCAGTTTTATTCTCCAAATCCGTTATATAAATGATCAAGGTCAATGTTGCATTTCGAGTTAGAATAAATTTTATTTAACATAATATTGTAAAAAATACTTCATTAAATGTGTTGTTTAATACTTATAATAAATTCATTAAATGTTTCTTTTATTATTTAAATACTCAGTTATAATTAATTGCATTGAATGTGTTACTAAACATTTAATACATTTATAAATAAAATGTAAGTAGGTGATACAAAAATCCTGCTGTCTTATGCAGAAAGAAGTTTCAATAACCAAAACGATGAATGTAAAATTTAATTTTTTTCTGCAACTTCAGAAAATTTATTCTTGAACTCATTAATTTCTTTCCTTCTTTTACTCCTCTTCTTGTTGTTATTTATTCGTTGTAGTAAAGAACCTGACTGAAACCCTAAAGTGAACTAATTCAAACACAACTCTTACACACAGCTTCTCTGCCCTTTGACCTGATCCATTTTTCTTTTTCTTTCAAAGAAAATGACGATGTACAACCCAACGGCAGAGAGCAGCACGGTTCTGACACCTCTGACGGGTTCATTGTCAGTGATGGACAGAGTGAATGGATCACACAATTTTGTGTTGAAGGGTTACTCTCTAACGAAGGGAATGGGCACTGGAAAATTCATTGCAAGCAAGACATTCACTGTGGGAGGGCATCAGTGGGCCATTTATTTCTACCCTGAAGGGAAGGTCCCTAGTGAGAATGGTGTTTATGTTTCCGTCTTTGTCGCACTTGTTTCTGAGGGCACCGATGTTCGTGCACTGTTCGAACTCAAGTTGCTCGACCAGAGCGACAAAGGGACTGACTTGGTTTATACTCACTTCGGTCGCAGCCTCGAGAATGGCCCTTACACTATCAAAACCCGTGGCTGCATTTGGTTAGCTAGAGTCAACATTTTCTTTATTTTATGTGTTCATTTCTCTTTTCTCTTTGCGAAACTTTTAAATTTGTGATATAATTACGGCGTCATCACTAATTATCAGTTGTTTTATGAAGTGATGAATGATGCAGTGGGTTTGTTGTGTGTGTTTTTAGGGGATATAAGCGGTTTATAAAACGAAAAGACCTCGAGGCATCAACTTCTCTCAAGGACGATTGCTTGAAGATCGATTGCACTGTTGGTGTTCTGGTGGTGTCATCGTCTAGTGATTCTTCTATGTTAAACGCAATACATGTTCCTGAATCTGACATGGGGGCAGATTTGGGGATGATGTTAGATTATGAGGAATTATGTGATGTTACTTTCTCCCTTGGTGGGGAAAGATTTCGTGCACATAAGCTTATTTTGGCTACTCGGTCATCAGTGTTTGAAACCTGGCTTTCTAATGGGGTTGGCAACGATGACAAGGAGATAGTTCTCACTGACATTGAGCATAAAATTTTCAAGGTAGCAGCATGTCCTTATAACTGAATTCAGTTTTAATGTGACATCTCATACCATTTACTTCATTGTCTAATGATTTTCTTGTGCCTATTATTGAGCAGGCTTTGCTTCATTTTATATATACAGACACTCTAATGGAAGATGAAGATCTCTTTATGTGGGAATCTTCGTCCTTGTTATCGGTATCTGAATCATTTCCGGCAAAGTTATTAGCTGCAGCAGAAAAGTATGACTTGCCACGACTGAAGATGATGTGTGAGTCGGTACTTTGTAAAGACATATCTATAGATTCTGTTGCATATATTCTGGTTGTTGCTGATCGTTATCGTGCTACTCAGTTGATGGAGAGTATCTTGTGACCTCAACTCCCACCTAAGTCTCAATTTGAGTTCAGTATCTTGTGACCTTAACACATTTCCACCATTTTGTTTTTTTCATTATTTTGTTAATATTTGAAAGTTGATTCTCATACTCTTTCATTGTTGTTTCCATTGAAGCTGTCACGAAATCTGATAGTTTCCAGTATCTTAGGAAAAAATGGCTATTGCTACACGAGGAGCTGCTAAACAGTGTGGTTGACTTAGACAATTTTATTGTGCACGTCCAATCTTCTGAGGATGGTTACACCAATGATAGGAAACAACCAACCTTAGAAAGAGGTGAAAGTTCAAGGGTTCACCTTTCTGATGATGAGTTGATTAAGACACAGATCTATTCATGATAAATATGACATGTATGGCTTACAAGATGGCATTTTTCAAACGAGACACATCTGCAAGTTTCACAACAGCTTTCACTCTGCTTATATACCTGAATCTATATTAGAACTAAAATTATATTTAAATAGAACATGAAATGAATATATATATGAAAGTAACAATTACAATTATTTTTTAAATTAGGTCTAACACATACATTTAATTTTCATTGATCTTATTCTCATTGTTTTTAGTTTTTAATCAAAATTAGTTATGACAATAAAAATTTTGATTTTTCGAAAGCAAATTCTTCAATTTGACAACAAGGACTGAGATATAATAATAACCTAATATTCCTTTAATAGATTTAGTTTATCATAATTAAATCTTGTCAAGTGTGTTGAATAAGTACGCATATGTTTGAATTTAGTTTTCTTGGAGCATTTTCTTAAAACTAGTCTATTTATTTATTATCAATACTTAGGAATATAATTCCTCTTTTCGCATGGTATTTCATACAACAATTTCTCAAAGTCCAATGACCCTGTTATATCGTGTTGTACAAATTCTTTCTACAGAAAAAAAAATATTATTTAGTCACTCATTTTGCTTAGCCTCATTTGCCAAAACAAATGCAAAGAAAACATACATTAATATAATAATACTAATAATAACAATAATAATAATAATATTTTTTTAATGAATCATTTTAGGTTACAATACGCTCTAATTAAGGTTATATACACTCTAGGTTATTTCTAAAAGTTTTTAATTTGAACTGGATTGTTAATATTATATTTCGTATTACTACTACTACTACTATTATTATTATTATTATTATTATTATTATTATTATTATTATTATATCAATAAAAAAATGAAAAAAAAACACCGAATATGTTATGGAAACATTAGGTTATTAATTTCTCAGTCACAACTTTAGTACAACGGTCGATTTAACTCAGTTAGGGTTTGACCTATCAAGCTTGGATCAGATCAGAGTTAAAAAAAGAGAAAAGTTCACATAAGAAAAAAAAAGTCTATAGAACCATAATATTCACAAAGTTTTTTGGACAAGACTCATTTTATGTGTCAATTATTTTTTTAAGTGAAAATTTTAAAAGAATTTTTAAAAAATATATTTATTTTAAGATAAAACTTTTATACTCATGAAGAATTATCAATATGTTACTACATTTTTGTTATTTGCACCATAATCTATTTTAAATGATTAATAGTAACATCATATATGATACAACATTTTACTATATCTATAATATAATAAAATATAATTTTATTTCCAATCTCAAAATTAGAAAAAAAAACTTTATTTCTATAAGAAAAAAAATAAAATAAAATAATCTTAGATATTATATTATCGACACATCTTTTTGCAATGATCAATAATTAAATAATCAATAATTTAAAAAAATTAAAAGGACAAAAGTTAAATTTAAAACTTGTTAGTATTCAATATCTTCATGGACTTTAGACTTACCTATGGTTTTATCATAACCAAAATTATTATGTAGAACTTCGTCTAAAATTCATAATCAAGTAAAATATAATAACACCAATAATTAGTCTAAAGAATTAATATCTTAAAGTAAAATAATTCCAAAAATTATAATACAAAGTCTTATTTCAAGGATTTAAAAGGAAAAATATATAACCAAATTTTAACACAAATCAATGTTATGTTATTATGAAGAATAGAACATCTATATTTTAGAAATAAATGCTAACAAATACTAAAAATTAATTACCTTACCATTTATAACTATAACTATATATATATATATATATATATATATATATATATATATATATATATGGATTTCTTTTATAACCATTTTTGAGTATTATAGAAAAGAAAAAAATAAAAATATAAAAAACAAAAAAGTGGATACATTTAAAAATAAAAAAATAATATTTAAAAAAATAAGTATACACAAAATGGAGCCCTATCACTTGTTAGTATAAAAAATATGAAAAATATTATCTCATTAGTCCTCCATGATTGAAGTAGATAAAAATCTTTATTGACATCTCTTGATCCTTCCAAGTAAACATCTATTTCAACATATTTTGCAATCTTATCATTGATAAATTTGGATTCATTCTAATATATTTCAAAATTCTATAATCATTACTACAAAATATGTTTTCTACATCGTCATTTAACGTCGATTAAAGTTAAGACGTAAAAAATACTTTCAACATCCGATTGATTAAAAAACGACGTTGAAATTGTTTTTATTTTTTGTAGCTAAAAATTCACGTAGATTATAGAATTATCACTAACAAGATTCAAACCCAATATCTTAGAGTTAGAAGTCGATACTCCAACCACTAAACTACTAGAATTTTCTAATAATAACTTACAAATAAATTATATTTATATACAAATAAATATATATCCGTGTAAATATAAAATATATATATAAATATAAATATATTTATATAGTTTGATATATTTATATAGTTATATATTTATACGTTGGATGTGAGGGCGCGCTCGAGAGTGAAAGTGAGATTGACTCGCTTGAGGAAAAATACGTTAAAGCTCACGTAAATTCACTCGCTCAAGTTAAAATATCTCGCTTGAGCGAAAATTGGTATTTTTCACTTGAGTGAATAACGCGTTTCCCAAATTTATTTTATATTATTATATAAATAAATATAAAGATTATATTTTTTCATTAAATTACAAACTCATATAAATGGATCCGCTCACAAATTTGGCATCAAATTTTGAAAACTCACTCAATATACATTTTCACGTTCGGACGTACCCTCACATCCAACATATAAATATATAACTATATAAATATATTTGTATTTATATATTTTATATTTATATATTTACATAAATATATATTTATTTGTATATAAATATAATTTATTGTAAGTTATTATTAGAAAATTTTAATAATTGGAGTATCAGCCTCCAATTCTAAGATATTGAGTTCGAATTCGCAAGTGACAATTCTCTTAAAAAATTAATTTGGTAATGATTCAAACTTCTAAAAAATATAATAAATAATAACAATATAATATAAAAGAGATGTATATTTTCCAAACAACATCTTGAACCTTTCTACCACTTTCTTAGCTTTGTCATCATAGGTCAAAAGATTTTTTTCTTCTTTTCATTTTTCTTTTTTTATAAAAAATACTTTATAAAGTCATGCTTCAACCATAGATCAATAATAACTTCAAAAACTAAACCAATACTATACTCTTTCTAAACTTTTTGAAATTGCTCTTCATTTTTCAAGTCATTTCCTTTAGAGTAATATCTTTATTCAACAAATTCTCTTTTATGATGAACTAAATTTTGCAAACTTACATAAATACTAGTTTGAAGTGAGATAAGATGAATCATACATCATATTTATGATCTCATATAATGGTTATAGGTTGACATATTTTCTCTTCCATGTTCCATTCCTCAAAAGATTGAAAAGATTTATAATTCCTATCACCAACTTTGACAATTTAAAAAAATGTTCTTATATTTGATATCACTTTCGAGCATCAAATAAATATAATTACATCTTGTTATCATATCTAATCTAAGACCCCCTGTTGATTTTTATGCCTGCACCACTAACACTCTCAAATACTAATTTATCAACCACTTTTTAAATCATCTTGAACAATCAAATTAGGAGTGTGAGTACAGCATCATACATGAAAAAACTTAACATCATGTAATAATTTTCTTTGCACAAGATGGGTTTGTCAAGATTGTAAAACCAACATAAAAAATCTAAAATAATTGTCATAGAAAACATAATAATGCTAATTCCTTCATGTTCAACAAAATTACAAGCAAAAACATATTCAATTATGTTCTCTCAATTAACTTACTATCTATATATATGCATCTTTTGATTGATTTTTTGCATGCCAAACTTTCCATCTTGATTAAGATTCACATCCATATTCTACATGCATATAACTTGAACGTGAGTCTCATAATTATTCTTGGTATTATAATTTTTGTCAATTTAGTGGTTATGACCACAATACTAATACAAAACATTTTCAATGGCATCCTTATCTTTCTCTATTTTGTAAAAACTTTCCGAACATTTGTTGCTTCTTTCTTATTTGTGGTAGCACTTTCAAACACAGTAGTCGTAGTTTCAATCACAATATTATCATCCAAATTCAAAGTGTTACTATTTTGTTACCGTGGATGGCATAACATATATATCAATATACCATATGAGATTATTTATATAGAAAAAAGTGCATGTTGAGTTAAGTGAATAAAGCTAGTAAAGTTAGCGGAGAAAAGTAAATTAAACTTTACCTACATATTTTTTAAAACTTTTACTTGGAGAGTCGGAGTTTACGCTCTGAATATATGACCAAATTACATTTTTGTTATGTATTTCATCTACAATAACATATTTGATTAAATAAATTTATTAATTTGGGGAAAATAAATTAAAGTTTACAGACATTGTTTCAAATTTTTCATTTTCCGGGGTTTTCGCTCTGAATGTAATTAGATCAAATTACATTTTATTAAGTATTTCGAATTCAATAACATATTTGATGTAATTAATATTAAAAATTTAAATACTAAATTAAATGTTTAACGCATTTAATTTTAAGTTTTAAATATTTAATAAAATATTTAATGCAAACATTATTAAGTATTAGATCTCAAATAAAAAATTCAATGCATCTATTTTTTTATTATTAAATCTAAAACAACCATTTTTCAGTTATTATTATTTAATGGCTTTATTAAACTTTAACCATCGTTTAATGTTTTTAAAATGTTTAAAGTTTAGAACTCCCTCCATTTTTTTATAAGTTTTACAATATTTATTTTTTTATTTATTACATTTTAAAGTTCAAGAGAGTCTTAATTGTATTCTACCAATTATATCCCTATGTTGACATCTAATAAATATGATTTAAATTAATAAATAGTTTATAATCATACATAAAGAACTCCTTTCTACTCTTTTTTTATCGAAGAGAAAAAATATATAATTTATATGTTATAACTTTTTTTCCTATTTCTTTTAGTTATAAGTTTTTCTCAATTTTTTTAATATAAAATTAAAATAATAATAAAATGTCATTTATTCCTTACTTTTTTTAGTTTACATTCTTTTTAGTTTCTCTATTCATAAAACTCTATATCACGTTTATTTATTTTAATAATTTATTATTTTAAAAACAAATGTTTATATTTTAAAATTAACATATATACATTAAATGTTAATAAATTAAAATAAAAAATATTATAAAAATACAGACATGTACACATGTTTATTGTGAAAATAATACTAACAGAAAACACGCATGTTTAAAAAAATTTCGATAAAATTTAATTCTTTATAGTTATACTTAATTTTTTTTCCTATTGTATCATTTTTTAATTAAAATATGGTGAAAATATATTCTAACTAAATTATTTTTATTTTAACTTGATGAATGAATAGTTGAAAATAATATATTTTTCCAATGATATATTTTTAAAGACATTATTAATTAGAGCACAAATTATAAGAAATGTAAATAGAACTAAGTTATGAAAAATTAGTACTTATAATTGAGTACGAAGAGAACGAGGGTAAAAATGAGAATTTTTTGGAATATGTGGAGACAGACATGGGACGATAAACTTTTTGGAAAAACACTTTCACTTCATTAAATTTTTACATAGAAATATTAAATACTTTTTGAAAACATTAATTATTTTTCTGAAAACATTTATTGTCTCCTCTATTTTATTCCTTTACTTTGATATTTATTTGAAGCTTGAAAAACGGTGAATGCGATGCAAAGCTATTTTAATTAGCAGTAACCCACAAGACACTCGCAGATCCAGAGTCCTTGAGTTTTAGAAGAAAATGGCTCCTAAGATGAACAACTCCACGACGAGTTCACGGTTAGTGACAGAGATGGTGAAGGGTTCACATGAGTTCAAGATAAAGGGATATTCTTTGGTGAAGGGAATTGGAGTAGGAAAATTCATTGAAAGTGAAACGTTCAATGTCGGAGGATATGGGTGGGCTATACACTTCTACCCCGACGGCAAGGAGCCCCAAGTCAATGCTGTTTACATCTCCGTTTTCGTTGCACTTGTTTCCAATGATAAAGATGTCCCCGCGAAGTTCGAAATCGCCATGCATGACCAAAGAGGGATAGCGAAGGACTTTGTCCTTGGTCACTTTGATGGCTCCCTTATGAAAACCCTTCACACTATATCAGTGGGCGAACTGTGGTTAGTTTCAGTTACTAACAGTTTTAATTTATCTACTTTTTTTTTTTTTTTTCTGTTTTATGATGCAGTTCTTGTTGTGCTGTGTTGTGTGGTGTGGTGTTTTTTAGGGGCTTTACGCGTTTTTACAAACGCTTTCATCTTGAACACTCGATGTACCTCAACGATGACTGCCTACAATTAAATTGCACTGTTGGGGTTTTCCCGACGACCATAGATCGTTCCATGGCAATACAGGTTCCTGAGTCTACCATTGGGGCACATTTCGGGATGCTGTTTGAAGATGACGAATCATCTGATGTTACTTTCTGCGTTGAAGGAGACAAGTTTCGTGCACATAAGATTGTGCTGGCGGCTCGATCAACTGTGTTTAAAACTCAGTTTTTCAGTGGAATGGACAAGTTTGATGGAGAGATACTTGTTACTGACATGAAGCCTAAGGTTTTCAAGGTACCACATTATTCAATTGTATTTTCTATGATACATTATTAGTGTTATTTAATTCAGTGTGATATATCATCATTTGCTTGGTTATCTATTTTTATTCTTCTGTACTATTGTTTAACAGGCTTTGCTTCACTTTATTTATAACGACACTCTTGAACAAGCTGAAGAGTTCTATTTGTCACAGTCATCATTCATGTCTTCTTTATCAGAATTGTTTATAGTGAAGTTGCTAGCTGCTGCACACCAGTATGATTTGCCAAGGCTAAAGCTGATTTGCGAATCTGTACTTTGCAAGCACATATCTATAGATTCTGTGGCTCACATTATGGCTCTTTCCGAACGATATGTTGCTTCCGAATTGAAGTCCATTTGTCTGCAATTTGCTACAGAAAACCTTGATGGTGAGTTTTCTTGCTTCATTAATTGTTGTTTGACAGAATCATTTCCAATGTAGAAGTGTTGATTGTCATGTGATTTCTCTCATTTCAGCTGTGATGAAATCTGATGGTTTCAAGCACCTTAAGGAAACGTGTCCAGTTCTTCAATTTGAACTGCTAAAGAGTGTAGCAGCAATAGTTGAGCGTGCCAAACCTTCTGGTAGTGTTGACACTGATGAAACACCTATGCCAAATGAAATAGATGCTGAAACCTCAAGTTATAATCCGTCCAGTGACGAGGAAGACGATATCCCAGATTAGGTACAAACAAAACTAAAAAGAAAACAATGTCTGTAATTGTGCAATGATATATGTTCATACTGTTTAGCGTTATTTTTCTTAAAAATAATGAAATACTTAATTTTACAAAATGGTTACGGTAAGAATTGTCCTCGTCTCTGTGTTATAAAACATGAGATTTCATCACGCCCCATTTCATGTCTCAACATCGGTAGAGTAGATACTAATATCATATTAGAAATAATAAGATATCTAATTCAACCTTATATCATATCTTTAGTTAATATAGAATTTCATTACACCTACTCTTCTTAAGAGGAAGATTTTTTATCACACCTCTTTATATGAAACGGTTTTGATCTATTTTTATAAATTTAATGAAATTATTATCTTGTTTTATATCTCATTTCATTTAAATTATATTTTAGATCTGCATTAGTTTATTCCATGAGATTTTGTTACTTTTTTTATATAAAACTCTTCAAAATAAAACCTAATTTTGTAATTTTTCATTTCAGAAAATATAACTTAAAGCAAGTATTTTATCACTCTTTAAATATAGTATAGCAAACATGCTTTCAAATTTTATATATATATAATTTCTATACATAAGTATTATTTTAAATAAATTGTTAAAAAAACAATAAAATAGCTACAGAATTGTCAATTTAAATGAATACTGTTCATATATAACAACTATTACAAAAGTAATAAAATAAATATAATATATGCACTCTTAAATAAGAATTATTTTATTATGCAATCGATTGTTTAGATTTTGGAGGGATTTGGTTGGAAATCGAAATTAGGTTAAAGATTAATAGATTATTTAATGGGATTTATGCAGTAGAATTGAAATAAATGACCAATACTTATATTAGAGCAGAAACGTATCAGCTATGCAATTGATTATCAGTGTGAAGAGTTCATATTTAAAAAACAATTATCACATTTAAGTCCTGGTTATTTTATAAGTAGCTTAATTTGATATCATTGAACTCAAAATTATAAGAAATTAGATTATAGGTATTTTTTTTATTTGTTGTTTAATTTTTTTATTTTTACTTAATGCAAAACTCATACTTGAATTTTTCAATATTCTTATATTCATCTTTATGATTCGATTTAATAAGTTAAACTTACTTGTATCACCTCATTCAATTCACTCGCTTCATTTTAGTGTCGTTAGGAAATTTTATGCATAATCAAATTATATGTCTACCTTATGCAAAACGAGTTTTAGTCTTAGTTATTAAAAGCGAAATTTCTTTTTCCAAATCCTTGTATGTTACATCGTTCATATGAAGTCCTTATAAAATTGAAAGTTTCAACTCATCACAAATACGTTCGGATAATGGAATTTTAGTTGAGTTGTGATTGTATGTATCCGAGGATTCTCATTTTGAGGATGTCATTGACATTTTTTTTAAGTGCCTGGATAAAATTAAATTAAAAAGATAATTAGTTTAAGATTTTATTGAGATAAAATTAAATAAAAAGATAATTGGGAGTTTGTTGGAATATTTTGATTTTTGTTAATATTAATGATATCTTGGATGGTTATTATTTGACTGAGAGTTTTTATTTTCTAAAATAAGATTAGGGTTTTTGACAATATTTAAATACACCATTGCATTTCCCATTGAGACATGACAAAGAAAAAATAAAGGTCAGGTTTTTTAAATTATTTCTTATCTAAATGGTATAAGAGTCTGGATTTTTTTAGAAGAGTTAAGGTTTCTCAAAAGAGCTAGAGTTTGAGTTTTTTAGCATAAAAAAAGTTGAAGAGTGAAAATGACTGGTCTAACAAATAGTACATTTGTGTCGCAACTAACAAAGGACTAAGATGAAGGTTCTCCTCAAAGCCTAAGATAATTGGAAAGTATTAGAGAAAGGTTTTGGTTTTAAAAAACTAGAAATCCCTGAGGGACTGACAACATCCACGCTCAAGGCGTTGAAGGAGTTTGGAGGATAGTGCAGCTTTGTTTATTTTGTTTCGAGTGGTAGAAGATTCCAAATTTGACAAGATTTTAAAAGCTACGTCTGCAAATGAAACATGGATGATGTTGGAGATAACACACAAAGGTGATGATCGGATCAAACAGATTTGATTACAAACATTATATGGTGAATTTGAAGGCATGAAAATGAAGGAGTCAGAAGAAGTTTCCAAGTATATCACACGTGTTTAAACCATGGTGAATCAACTTAATTGGGATAGAGAGGCGATTTTCAGAAATCATGTGGCACGAAAAATCTTGAGGTTGTTAACCAACGACTTTGAGAACAAAGTGTGCGCAATAAAAGAATCAAGGGATATGTCCGAGTTCACAATTCAGGAGTTGGCTGGTTCTCTCGTAGTCCATGAGTACCAAAGGAATAAGATGAAAGAGGAGACAAATGTGCAAGTGCTCCAAAGCAAGGCAAAAGAGGACAAGGAACTTTATTCTCAAAACAGTAGAAATAGAGAACTAGGAGATCGTGGTCGAGTCCAAGGTGGTCATGCTAGCTAAGGTGGCCAAGGTGGTGAGAAGGAAGAAGAAGATCAGCAAAATTGGCGAGGTAGTGGATATGGTTGGAGAGGAGGTTGGTCGACAAGTCATTATAATGTTGAGTGCTTTAAGTGTGGCAAATACAATCACTATGCAAAAGATTGTTACTTGGACAAGTGCTACAATTGTGGACAAGTGCTACAATTGTGGTGAGGTTGGACATTTTGCGAATAAATGTCAAGCTAAGGAAAAAGGTGAAAGAGACCTATCTTCGCAGAAGAGATGGAAACTGAAGAAATAATATTGTTGATGACCCTTAGATTACATATTACTATTGTTATTGTAGTGTATTCAAGGTAGTGCCTAATTGCCCAATTCGGGTTTGCATGTCATGGATGGTGGTTGCCATGCGCTGCTTGAGCTATGCACTCTACGTTATCATTTGTTGTTTGAGTGCTTCATCAATTCTTCCAAGGATGACCTAGAGTTACCTTACGCTTGTTGATGGTGTGTATTGTCAATTGGGCTTTGTTGTATTGGCATAAGGTGTTGATTCGCCTGTTGTCTCATTAGGTAAGCTTGATACTTTTATTGTTAGTGGCCTTTGTTGCTCGATTGGAAAAGAATCTTTAGTTGTTGGTTGTAGACGAGACCATATTTCAAGTTTGGATAGTCTCTCCAACCATGATTATATGTGGTCGAGTACGGGTTGTACTCTTGTTATGACCTGTATGAATTTGACTGCATGTACTATTGTTGTTCAGGGGTTATACTGACCATTGGTTCCCTAATTGAGCTTGGTGTCTCCTAAAGTTGAGGCATGCATCAGTGGGATGATATAGAGGCACATATCCCACATAAATATTGCGATCAAGATGTGTGCTAGTTCATGGTTAATTGTCATACCAAAGATGTTAGCTCGTATATTTTATTCTCTAACCTCTTATTATCGATCTCTACTATCAAGCTTGGTTGTACTGCATGAACTTGCCTAACAGATGTTTGAGCAATGTTGAATTATCGAGAACTTTTTGACATGTTGGAAAGCAGGAACTAAGTAGCTGCAACTATCTTATCCATTAAAGACCCTCCACTTGTTGCATCAATAATGTGTCTTTCGATAGGCATCAATCCTTCATAGAAGTATTGTATCAATAACTGCCTCATTGATCTGATGGTTTAGGTAAGTGGCACATAGTCTAGTGAATCTTTCCCATGGAGACTCTTATTGTAGTTATCAAATCCCACTGATTTTCTTCCTAATGGCAGTGATTCTTGAGGCTATGAAGAATTTCTCCATGAATCTTCTCTTCATGTTGGCCCAAGTAGTGACTGGTGTGAACTGAAGGTTTAATCAATCCTTTGTTGTGTCTCATAAGGAAAAAGGAAAGACCCTCAACTTGACATAGTCTTTTGCAACACCAATTACTTTATCGTGGAGCATACTACATGGAACTCCTTCAAATGTTTGTTGGGATCTTTACCTAGCAATCCATGGAATTTTGATAAGAGATGAATCAGTCCAAACTTCAGTTCAAATCCAGCAACCCCTTCCTCAAGTTGAGAAAGTTGGATACAGATCTACTAGTGAGATCTATTTTGTGTGATGAGCTCCTTCAAGATTCTTTCTCGATTAGCAACCATCTTAGATGTTTGTGCAGAAGAAAACATTATTATCTACTAGAATAACAACGTAGACTATGAACAAGTACCCCAGATAGGTTCCCAGAAAAAGAAAGTTGGATCACTAATGGACACGTTTAAATACCAAATTTTTCATAGCTAGAATCCTCCTACACATGCACTCACACTACCAAGTTATATCCATAATTTTCTACAAGGATGGTTAGGGAATACACATAGACAAAAATTGTAAAAATTAATTAAAAAAACTAGAAAAAGAAAATGATATTAGACAATGTGATGTAATACAATTGTGTCCCTAACAATTGTGTTGTTTGACGATAATATTCTAATTGCACAAAATACTGATAAAAAAATTAATAAAAAGTTACTACATAAATGTAGCATAACTAATATATACCAAGTCTCACAAGGACACAATTATAGGAACGTATTCATTATCAAATGTCACTTTATCTAAAAAAATAATAAATAAAGGGTTTATAATAATAGAGCGAAAAAAAAATTAAAGCAAAATAATGAAAATTAAAATCAAATGGTAGCAAAATAATGATAATTAGAATTAAAAAATAAGTGCTTTTAATTAAATTTAAAACTTACTAAAATAGAGTGTAGTATTAATTACATTCAAATATCGAAATAGATAAATCTAAAATTAAGTTGAGAAGTTATTGGAAATTTTCCATATGCTAATCAAAAGTGAAAAACAACTGTAGCCAAAGAGTGAATTAAAGCAAACAAAACAATTGAAATAAATGTGTAAATGCTAATCAAAAGAGAAAATAACATAAAATCTATGTGTGAGTGAATTTAGAGAAGTAGTGCGTGAATAAAATAAAACTTAAACAATTGTGAGTGTTTGTGAATGAAATCGAAAAAAAGACGAAATGAAAATAAAAATTAAGAAAATTAAGTTCATTCATACATTCACTATCTTCCTTAAGTTAAAGAGAATTTGTTCACAAATTGGAAAAACACCTAACGTTAATAGAAGTTAGATCATTAATAATAAAAGTATAACTATTAGTGTAACTGAAAAGAATATCTAACTCGTGAACATTATTATTGATCTTCTTAAGAACATGACAAGGTTCATCTCCTCTAAATGAGAGTTTGAACGAGAATATGATAAGGGTTATCACTTATATACTTAGATTTTTCATTGGTATACTTGTGATCGTGTAATTTAATAACATTCTTATATATAGTCTCTCATTAAACAATCATGTGGAACATCTTAGATAGGGATGACAAAACAATGTAATTTAATGACATTATATATAATCTCTCATTAAACAATCATGTGGAACATCTTAGGTAGGAATGACAAAATAAGGTAATTCATCCCATTTTGGTCTTCTCTATCTCTAGCTCACCAAAAATAGAGTGAGGGAATTGACCCGCTATAATTAAGACAGGAAATAGACCCTAACTTGTCTTATCAAAGAGTGAGTTGACACATGCTAGCAAACTAACCCATCTATAATTTTTTTTTTATATAAATTTTGTTATATGTATTTTTTTTTAAAATATATCTTTAATTATATGAATAATTTTTAAATTTTTATCTATTAATATTTTTATTAAATAAATTAAAAGAATTATTATATTTATGTATTAAAATAACTAATTATAATCAATAATTTAAACTTAATTGATTATTTTTTATAAATTAAATTATAATATTTTAATATATTTACATATTTCAATAACTTAACATAACAAAATATAATATTTTTAATTATAATATTTTTATTTGATTTTAATATAAAAATATTTTTGTAAGAACAGGTTAATAGGCCAATTTGTCTTACCTCAAAACTACCCAAAACTACCTAAAATCATTAATATGTCCCGTCAATTTTTTTTCTCGTACTGATGGACCCACCGTTCTTGTTAGTTGAAGAGAAAAATAATTCATACGTATCAACAAATTAAAATTATTAACCCGTTCCGTATTTTTTTTTTTTTTCCTAGACTGATGGACCCACCATTCTTGTTAGTTGAAGAGAAAAATAACCCATATGTGTCATACTTTTCATTGTAATCAGAATTAAACAACTTTCCTGCCGAAATATTTTTAGCCATAGCTTGTAACATTTGATCTTGAAGTCTTGCAATTTGTATAACATCTTGGACCGTCGTCTTAGGACCATGAACATGGACTGCTCTTTCTAACTCTATTGTTAATCCAGACCAAAAAAAACTCAAAGCTAAATCTTCTGAAATGACCACCCTAGCTACCAACATATCATAGTTTTTCAAATACTCTAATAAGGCTCTTTCTTTTTTTAACTTTGCTAAATCAGCAATAGGATCTTCAATAGCACCCAGATCCAAACGATTACCAATATCTCGAATAATTTGTTGCCACATTTTGTTAGTGGGATCCTGCATGTAATGCCAATACTATGCAGAGGTCTTACCATCCATGGATAAATGCAGCAACATACTACATTGCACCTCCGATGTTCGTTATTTAAAAAATTATTCCGCCTTGGCCTTCCAGTAGCGAAAAGTAGACCCATCAAAGATAGGAAATGGTATTTGCATACGCTTCATTGTGTAAAATCCTGCAATCGATATTTCTACTAAGATTTCCTCCTCACAAGATCCATTCTTGGATGTCTGACAAGTTGTTAACACTGTTGAAAGTCCATCAATGGATTTTTGCATTCTTTCCAAGATAATTGTACCGATTTGAAAAAAAGATGTTCTTTTCATAAGAATCCATGCGATTTTCCAATTCCTTGACGGTCACCATCATCCCCAAGCTAATTGATACCAATGTGATAAACTAGAATATGTATGCTTCTTATTATTACCACTCACGCACCTTCTCACCAGCACTCTTACACAAGGTGCTGCCACTCACTCACAATACCAAACAAGGAGATTGTAAAGGATTTACAGAAAACGAGAACCTCCTTCCTTTTCCTCACAACGACCAACAGGCCTATATATAGTACAGACTAACCAGAATTATTAAACTAACGGAACTCTTAAATTCTGTTTACAATTATTACAATAAAGCTTTGAATGCAAGTTTACAACTGATTTTGTAAACTACAAGACACTTTGCACAGATTGAATTTCAAATCATTAGGAACTATTAATGTAGAAGCACAATTATTAGAATAGGGAGAACAAATAAAAATTAATATTGTAGCGAACATTGACTAAATGTAAATAAACTTATAATTTACCTGTCAGATGTCTTAAAGTTAAATTGGAGTTCTAGACAGGCGGTATGAAGTATTTATTAAGGACATGAGGACATCAGTGGTAGTAACCCTCTCTGCTTGCACTCAATAACTCAAAACAGACCAATTGATATTTCATACATAAGACTCAACACATTAACTTCCCATTCTCATCCCATAGTTATTCATTTTAGCCCAAGGAAATGGTAGAAACAAAGATTTAAAAGATGGGAGGAAATGCCAGAAAAGGAAGCTAACAAAAGGATAACATTGGAATTCTACAACCGTATCCCTCACTGCTGCCAAGAATCAACTAACAAAAAGACCATGAATAATACATGCTCCTACCCATAAAATGCTTCAATGCAGCTGCGATAACCACCAAAAGATACAAAAAGCAGTTATTTAGATTTCCTTTGTATTTCAGAAACTCTTTGGCCCATAATTTTACAAACAGCTTCATCTTTTGACTGAAGAAGTTTTAAAGCTGGGTGAACTTTGAGGTCTCCCATTACCAACTTCTGGCCCACATCCAACTCACTTAAATCCACGTCAATATATGGGGGAATAATGTCAGCAGGGCATAAGAACTTAACCGTCCTTTTGATGGTGTTCAAAGCAGCACCTGCCAAATTGTAAAGTGATGAATAATACTCAACAAAGTATAACATTATACACAATACAACAACAAACAATACAAAATGTTTTGAGAAGTAGGTGTCAAGGAAAAAACAAAAAATGTTGAATACTGAGTTAACAACCGTTTGCTTTGCATCATCAAACATGAGCATAGATACCACAGAAAAATAACTCAGTTGCAAATTACCTTTAACCTAATCTTAAGTTTTAATCATTTGCCAGAAGTGCTGTTCTATCATTCTACTAATAATTATCGCATCAGGCAACATTAAGACAATACACTAATTAGTAGGTTAAATCTACAATTTACAGAAGTCTACTATGTGTTGCCAAATTATTCTCAACCACCATAAATCCTTGTGCTTTAAATCTTCTGTCCATGTAATAATAACTCTCACATCAGGCACTTTAAGAAGACAATAGACCAAGTAACTATCTTGTTTTATAAATCTACAAGTTACACAAGTAGCCTGAGAGTTGACAAATCATATTCTAAGCCAGTCTTTCCAGTATGCCTTCAAAAAATTTCAATGAGTACCCATAAATTATAATTTCCCAGAGGATCCAAATTGTTCTTCAACTGAGTGAGTAAACATTTATACAAGTACTCAACATTTGACTACAAGGAAGTAACAGCAGATCATTTATTTTAGGATACCATACCAGATAATTAACAGGTCGTTATTAAAAAAACAAGTCAAATAAATTATAATAAAGGAGAACAAGAAAAAAAAAATACAACAATAATTGGCATGTGTAGTAGTGCTACTCAAAATAAACTTGCTCTCAAGTTGAAATTGAGATAGAAAAACGAGAACTGGTGCTCAAGATCACTTAGACTATTAAAAAATACATTTTTTCAAATACCAAATGGCAATATCATTGCTATAAGCAACTTGCATGTAGATTAAAATATAGCACATTCTACGAAGAAAAAAATTAAATAAAAAAACATCCATTTTACCCTATACAAGCATTATAAAGGAGATTATTCTTCATAAAGAGCACTACATCAATAAAAGGTTACTTGATTCCTATTGACCTAGTAGTCGTTGGTTTAATTGTTTCAATAACAAAAAAGCCTCTCCGCTCAGACCATACAATCGTACGAGCCTCATGCACTTGACTATAATAAAACTCAAAGCCCAGGGCCTATTTATCTACCAATACCAATTATCATCATCAAAAAGATTATCCATGTTCCACAGCACTTACCCATAATTTGGTATACATAGTCAGCCATATGAACAGACATCAGAACTCAAAATTCATCACATTCACCGCATAGCATGAAGCCTAGCAGCATTAAATTCAACATATCCAAACTATACATTTTCCTAGCCAAATTGGTCGACTTTGGTGATGTTAATTAAGTATACAAATATACGATGAAACTCTAAACTCAAGCCTCTCTCCTAACCTAAAAAATTTATGATACAGTATACGCAATACAAGCAGAATAATTTTACCAATACAACAAAAAGATTATACAAATGATGAAGAGGTGCTATCAAACAGTTTGAGAAAATCTTAAACCCTTAGCATGTTTGAGTGATGTCAAAGAGTGTTTATAGAAAAATTTATCCACACAGACCTATGTTAGAAAATTAAAGCGCGACGACAATAGAACGAACCTTTCTTGAGTCCAGGAGATACATCATCACCTCTGTAGACAAGAGGAACATCAACTTTCAACAAAGCGTGCGAAGGAGCCCTAATAAAGGTCACATTCAACGGCGCGTCTGTACCAGCTTTCAAATGAATCTGCCAAATTCTCAAAAGTTCAATACAAACCAAATCAAATTTAAAGCGCGCATTGCATGAGAAAATTTAAAATCAACAATTCACAAGTTCAGGATCAGTTATCAAATCAAAATGATGTACATAATACAACTAACGAGAGAGGGGACCTGGCGAGGCAAGACGCGAATTCTCTCAACGACGTCGTCGGAGTCGAACTGCGTGCGGACTTCGAGGTGGAAGAGACGAGAGAGGAAGAAAGATTTACCGAGGTGATTAACGAGTTTTCTGATCTGATCGGTGCGGACGGAGATGAGGCGTTTGTTGCCGCCGTGCTGGCCGTCCTCCTGCTCGAAGACGATGCTCGGCACGCGCCCAACGCGTCGCTCCTTCGCCGAAATGTTCGTGCCGGAGTCCGCGCGGATGACGGCGAGGATTGTCTCGTCGTGTTTGGGATCCGGGCGAGGAAAACCTTCGAGGTATGTGAGCGGCTCTGGCTCCGGCGGGTGGAGAATGGCGGCGGCGGAGTGGGAAAAGTAGCGGCGGTGCGGGGATAATCTGGTGAGGATGTGGCGAGGTAGATACATAGTTTGGAGTTGGAGAGGGGTGAAGGAAGAAAGGGTTTAGAAGGGTTTTGGGTTTAGACGGTGATCGATGCAATTGCGAAGTGACTGCGGAGCCCCTCTTGGTCATTCACTCACTAGCCAGTAGCTAGCACCTAGCTCCTAAACCAAATGGTGTTCATCACGTGACATACGCGTGATCTCAAATCTATTATTACCACTTTTTTCTTTTTATAAGAACATACTTTAAAACAAAAGATTGATCTTACTCCATTATTGTGACCGTTTATTTACTGTAAAATGAAAAATGATAGATTAGGCTACTTACAGGACTAGCATATGACTCTCTTTTTTCTTTCCAAAATTAGAATGAAATTAGCACCATGAAATTCGAATCATGTAAGATTTAAATCTTTAATATTTAGAAAACATTTGTTTCAACAGTTAATATTTTCTTTCAAAAAATAAATAGTTGATATTTTGAAAGCGTAGGTCATCTAACAAATTTTTATTAAAAATTACAAAATTTATTATTCAACTAATTTTACTCTAAATTATTATCTATCACTAGAATTTTCCATTATATCCCTTACTCATCCTGTTTATTCACTTTTTAAACAAATTCTATAAAGTCTACACCTTTTTTTAATGGCTGACCATGCTTTATCTTCTTCTATTCAATAACTTTTCTCATCACTTTATGCAGAGGGATGGCTAAAGAAAATATTGTTTTTAAATAGTATGCGTCTAAAATATTTTATATAAAATGGTATAATCTTATAATTTATCAAATTTTTAATCTTATAATTTATTAAAAAATATCATTATTTCCTTTTCTCGTAGTCTTGCAATTTATTAAACAAATCTGTAAACTTTCAAAAAAAAAAAATAGTTACTATTATAAAATAGTTTCTGTTAAATGTCTCCTACCATTCGACTTTGTATTCTCAGACAATCATTTTAAATATTGACGAATTTCTCTTTCAAAATTTACGAATGCTGAAACTCTCGAAAGACATTTTCATATAAGCCTCAAACCGAAGACAACCATTACAACAAAAATAACGCAATAAAAAAAATGGTAAGAAGATTTTAAGTAAGCAATTACAATAAAATTCGCAAGATTGCCCAGACTTTGGAGTTTGAAAAATCCAGACAAACTAATAAAACTATCTACAGCGTTGGTCAGCAAACGATCCTAAATTCCTGCCTAGATCACTATTATCAAAGCTCCCTAACTCACTATTTCTGCTGGTTAGTATATTAGTATATTATATAATTCATTCTCAGTCACTGCCACTTAAACAGCTGAAATCCACTTCCACTTCCTACATCCGCTGAATCCGATTCACTTCCCATTGTCTCGTCTGAGCTCTCACTTGGAAGGACTTTTATCCGGTCTGCATGCTCAACAATCCAATCAGTGAATTCTGGAGAAGCTGCCCATTCAGCTAGAGCCTGTTTAGTGGATTCTCTTGTGAACTCATCCCACTCTTGCTTTGAGAACTTCTTTCTGTTCCGGGTCTTGTGGAAGGTTGAATAATAATCTCGTCCCATATGAGTCCCAGAAGGTTGTGATGAAATCCCAGAGGATGGTGATACAACGCCTGCAATAGACAAATGAATCAAATAACATAGCATTTTTGTTGAAAGCAAAATATCTCTCCAGAAACTTTGTGTTTGAATATTAGTTGTTAAATCTTAGTAATACAAATAGTTATATCACCCACCGAAGTTCATAATAAAAATTGTACCAAAAAAAGTTCATAAAAAAGATAAGTAAGCAAAGTATGTTCATCTGTTTGGAATTTGGACTGAGGGCCAATTTGAAAACACAATTCAGTGCTGAAAATAAAAATTAAAACAAATCCAGCATATTGATTTTGTTGTATTTGTTTAATGCATGCCAAAAACGAAATAATTGAATGTGAAAAATAAAAAGGAAAATTCCAGCATATGACTCACAAGATAACATCAGTTATTCAGAAACAACTAAGTGCAAGAACTTTTCGAAAAATTCAGATGTGGAAAACAAAATTCAGAGGATTGGACAGTATGTAGTAATCATATATATAAGAAGATTGGAACATGAAACAATACCTCTAACAGGAGAGTCAGTCCATGCCGATCTTTTAGGGCTATTCCACATTTTTCCTTTAGGGTTACTCCAATGTTTTCCTTTAGGGGTTGACTTGCTAAGGAATTCCGCATGACCACGTTTTCCTTGCACCCATTGCAGTGAATAGTCATCATTCCCTAAAGTTTCATACCTACATGAAATCATAATGGCATATTTAGAGGTGAAAAGCTTGAAGCTTTGAACTTGTTATCTCAGGCAGGCAATGACAGGAAAAAGAAAAACAAAAGTAAAATAAGTCCGGCATATGTTAGTAGATCCCACTTTCTCTTGGCTCTTTTTTATGGCACAATAGGAAGTTATGAAGCTCGAACCCTAGACCTCTACGATGTCAACCTTCTAATCAGTGACCATTTCCTACAAAATGATTCAATTCTTTTAAATTCTTAAAAAGTAAAATATACCAATGCATGAAAACATCCAAAATGCCTTATTAACAAATGCTCAGCATTATGACAATCATCCAATCTATTGTTCCTTGGACAAGCCTACCATGACCAACATGTCCGCCAGAAATTATTCTACACCAAAAATTAATATAGAGCAAAAAGAGAAGTTATGCGTACCATCCATGAAGCCATTTTGTGGCAGAAAAAAGATTGCAAACAGCTCCGCAAGTGATCAAAGCTCCAATTGCTAGAAGAGGATCAAGAGTGCTCTGAAAGAGAAATTGAAATCAGAATAAATAGGGAAATAAACAGTACCCTTTAGAGTATGTAGCAGACCAAAATGGTCAGACATCACTACCTGAGGGTTTCAATTAACAATGAGTTAAATGTCAATACAGATAAATGTATCCATCTCATCACTAGCTCAACTATTCATGGATTCAACAGAATTACCCATGAATATCAGGTTAAAAAAGTGGGACATTATTTCCAAAAATATGCCAATGACAAAATTTAACAATCAATAGTCTACACTTTTATTTTAAAACTTAACATCGCGGAAGTTTAAAAAAAAATTATAACAAGCTTTTTTCTATATAAAATTTATATTTAACTTACTTTCAATTATAAAAATACTCATTTCGTATACTTCATTTATTTTTAAACAAAAGAATCAGACCCATTTTGCAGTTTATATTATATATTCATTTTTTTTGCTTTATTATTTTATCTGTTTCCACTTAAAATATTTTGTAACTTTTATTGTTTTCTACCTGATGGAACATATCAAATTATTAGAAAAGGCCAATATTGTATTTTTTTATCGAATTGTTGAGCTTAAATTTTGTTGGATACCAAACTATTGACTCCTTTAAAATATATTTTCAAAGAATAGAAACAAAATTTAGAATACTTGATGCAAACCTGCAAAATGAAAGTGGTTCCAATGATGCGCATTGCCCATTTCACAAACTGAGCAACCCCAGTATCAACACTACCATCTTCTTTGGAAATAACAAACCTCCTAACAATCCAGTAGCCTAAAGCAGCTCCAGCTAAGATGATGCCCAGTATTACAAAAATAGCAACCTGAAAAGCATGAAGAAAAATCATTTAACGAGAAAATTGAAGATGTCTGATAAGCCAAACTCCATAGGATGGGAAAATAGTTGCTTGTCCAGCAGACATGCAAAGATGGCCAGCATTCCAGCAATCATTAAAAAATATGCAGCATTAATCATCGGGACCACAGAAAGGGGAGGAGAGAATATGTAAAGGGATAGGTAAAGGTAAATGAGTAACCACTGATCAGGGTTAACCACTGGTGTTTAGTGAGTGATGGTTGGAGCACACATCAGGGCAACAAGTATATGTAAAAAGGATTATATAGTTCCAGAAAATTAAATTACTATACTGGAAATATGAAATCCTTTCCGCCTCTTTAGCAGCTATTTTTCTGTTGACCAAAACCTTTTTTAGCTAACACAAAGAGAAATAAATAATATGCACCAAAAGTTATTCTAAATGGACAAAAAGCTAGCACAACATAAGTTAAAGATAAAAAACAAGGCCGGGCAAAATTTAAAAGAATAATTCATTGAATGTGAAAATAAAATGTTTCAAATGAGTTTCAAAATGTTAGCTTATCATTTATCAGAAATATGTGTAGGGAGGTCTGAACAGAAATCTAACAAAAAGGATCAGAAATCCAAACTAGTAAACTGCAGTTAGCCATTCAACAAGTATTATCTAATTCACTAAGTTATCAAAAGTAGAAATGGACGGGTATACTTACTGGATTGTACATCTCTTCACTCATTCCAAGACTCTGAAAAATTGAATTTAAGATCAAAGAAAATTGGTGCAAAAGGAACGATCCGGCTCCAACCTGAAACAACACAGGTAATAATGTCAATACCACTAATCTTGCCATGAAACATAAAAATCTGCAAGTGAACAACGGCCAAATATTAAATCAAACTCACCACTGATCCATATATGGTAAGGTAAAGGATATTTTTTCTTCCAGTCGGCATTAATTTCATGCCCTACATCATAATTTTAAAAAATTAGGCAAAAACATATCAAACAATCAAGGAAAATTTGGAAGTAATGAAACAAAGGGAAATCCATATATGATGAGAGTAATTTATATCATCATATATATACCTGAAAAAGAAGGATTATAATGACAAGAAAGATCCCTATAGCCATTGAAGTGCTATAATAAAACGGAACCCAACTGCTAACTATTGGAGCCAACAACAGCAGTAACAATCCCACTGCGAGACAAACGAGGCGCCATTGCTGAAAATCTACAACATATTTGAAAACATGAAAAAATCAGCACCAAAAGTTTTATATATATATATATATCACAAAGAGAAGAGACAACGAAAGAACAATGCCCCTACTCCCCACCTGCCCAATTTTTTAAAGGTGAAAGAAACTAACCTTCTTCAAGAGCAACCGTAACAGAATCCAATATTTCTCCATTAATCTTCACATCAACATATCTAGTTTCATAAGGTGACATAACAGCATTCCAGACCCCTTTCTGTAAACTCCTCCACTCATCTTTCTCACATTGACACCACCCACGTGTATTATTCCTGCACATAGTGGGTAGATTAGACATGGGAATCTTGCAGATTTAACAAGAAGCTGAAACAACAATAGCTAGAGTGTGCATGCCAAACATGCATCTGAGCGAAGTAAACGCAGTGACAACAAATAAACAAGGGATTATTGCTTTTTCCTACCCCCATCTCGATTTCCTAAATTTCGTCTCCCCATTCTTTGTGATTTTAATCCTCCAAGTATTTTAATTATACAATTGTTATTCACCTATTAACTCAACAAATAAATAAAGATATATTGATACATGACATGACACTCTTTTGCACTATCATGTCAAAGACATCGTGTACCAAATTAAAGTAGTGGAATCAAATAAAGGGACAAAATTTCCAGAATTGGCAAAGTAGAGGATCAAAAGTGCAATCAAGCAGCCAACAAATAAAGAAAAATTAGTCCCGACACTCCAAGTTTTGTTCTTACCTGTGAAAACAAACCTGAATTTTGCCATGCAACTTCTCCGGGATTGAAACGGAGGGAGCCAAAGTAACATGGAACGAATTAGCAAAGCTCCCAAGTTTCACTCTCGAGATGCCGGAAACTCGAACACGCTCGCATCGCAAAGCGTCTTTAGCACCCTGAGAACCCGAAAGCACGGAAGGCGAAACTTCCAATACCGGCTTTTCAATATCCAGACCTGCAGTAATAACAACCACTAAGAACTGGCGTTTGGAAAATCAAAAATGAAGGTTTGGCAGTGAAATTTTAAAGGGGTAGAAGAAACCCTAGGAAGCATCAATAATTGTTGCGAAAATGGTGTTTCAGAGAGGTTGGTTCTGACCTTTGAGTGTGAGAGGGTTATTATAGGGATTGGACAGTGAAGAAGAGATGAAGAAGAAAAAGAAGAAGAAGAGAAGGAGGGGGGAAGAGAAGAACGATCCCATTGATATGTGACCGGAGGAGCCTCTGAAGCGGGACGCTCCACACCGCGCTCTTTGCTATTCGATTTTTGTTCCGCAGCTGCTAGCGACAGGGCATGGTTTGATTTGATTTGGATTTTATTCATTTTGTTTATATATTGATCTCTCGACTCCTTTAATACAAGAAATAGTTTAAAAGAAAATCACTCTTCTTAATTATAAAATATTAATAATTTTGGTGAAATATTAAAAAATTTTATAAATAATTTTGATAGTTTAAAAATATTATTTTAAAATCTCGTTATAAGAATTAATTATTTTTATTGACGTAAGAATTTTTAAAAATATTTTTTCACAGCGTTGCGTTGTTTCGAGGCGACAATAGTTTTTCTTACGCGGGGGAATTGATTTTGGTAAAGAGTAGAGGATACGTAACGTTACGGTATTGTACAGCTTACACAACACAGTCTTGCGCTTTCAAATTATTGCCCATAATATAATTAGGAGAGAACTATATGCTACTTTTGAGTAATATAAGGTTTAATTATTTAAAGTTTAAATGTATTATATATTATTTGATACAAATATGACAATCTGTTTTTAGTTATTTAATATATTTTTATTTAATGCAAATATGATTCAATATACTTTTAGTTATTATCAAAATATCTTAGTTTGTTTAAGAGTAACAAAATAAATAAAAAAACAAATATAGAAATTATATGCTTCTATATCTAACCTGCGAGATATATTAATAAAAGGAAATCTTTCATAATTATCAAAAGAAACATTTTGGAAAACTCTAATTTTGATAAAGATATATATGTTCCTAAATTACCTTCTCTCAAACTATATGATTGAAGAATTGTTAAATGTCGACTGAGAGAATTTTGAATGGGTGAAATAGTAATTGTGCATAAGAACGAGTTTTGCTTGAGATGTCCAAAGATCCTATATGAAACCAAGGTAATCACTACACAATCAGCTTAAGCAGGATTATTCTAATAATTTCTTTCAACATTTAACACACAAGCTCATTTTATGAAGAATCTATTAATAGAAACAAACATGTATGGTCTCGGCTAAACATGTGAATATGTCGTTTAATATTATTGAAAATGTTAAAGAGTTCATTAAACAGAATTAAATTATTTTTAACTCTTCAAGTCCATTATATAATTGTCCATTTTAAGTTATCAACGTTAGTAAACAACTCTATAAGTTAAACTTAAAAATTCCATAAGGGTTTAAAATTTTATAATCTCTAATAATTAAAAAAAAAAGTTTCAATTTTCTAGTTGCACCGACGCACCAAATAGGAAAAATAAACATTTTCCAATGAAGTAATTTATTTATGATAGTAACATAATTTTGACATCCATAATAGAAATCTAATATTCTCTACGATTTTAGCTTTCCATAATCATATTTGATCCATGCTTTCATATTTGATAATTATCATTATAAATATTATCCCACATAATATTATCTTTGTCACAATACTATCCACGTTATTCTATCTTCCAAATCAATTTTTATATCATCAGATGAATAAATAAATTAGAGAGGCACCTTTATTAATAGATTTTATCAATATTTTTATTATTATAATTATAAAATAATTAATATATAATTAGCATTTTTAATTAATTAATTTTTTATTATTAAGATAATATGGATAAAAGAAAATAAACATTTTGGTATCTAAATTATTGTATAAATTATATATTTTAATTAATGATTTAAAAAAAATTAAAAGAAAATTAAATATTTATTCTACAGAATTCCCTCATCACATTAGAAATTGAACATAAAAACTTTTTGCAAGATTTAAATGAAATAAATTTATGTAATTAAATTTTCATTTTGAGAATAAAATTTTTATTTTGAGAGATATGAAATCATATTATGTAATGAAATAAGGAAGTAATAGTTAAAAGAGATAAAGAAAAAGAAATAACATGAATATTTAAACTAGTTTATTCTTATCTAAAGTTATATCCAATCGTTAGTTAAATCTAATTAGAGTTTTACTAAAAACACAACAGTTTACATAAAGTAGAATATTTATTTACTTCAACTTTTCCCAAACACTAGTGACAAACCTGTCACCGACAAAGGTCTCAAAAACCCCAAATTATGAAGCTATAAGATACGTGTAATTACATAATTACAAAAATGATTTCACCAAACAATAAGGTACATAAAACAAGAAAAACCAAAGTGAGGAGTTCAAATGCAACTTTTTATGCAAGCTTTGAGCATGAAGATAGAACCAAGATAGTCTCTAAGACTTTGTGTAAAAAATAATATGATTCTCTTTTAGAAGTAAAAGTTTTAGCAAAAGATTTGATAGAAATATTGTGTAAATGGTTAATAGAGTAAGATCTTTATATATAAGTTAGTGGCAGTTTTAACTAATTAAAACTATGTCATTTTGGTTTTATTTCTGAAATCTCTTGTTCATCAAACCTATTAATTTTCATCTCATATTCTCTTAGTTTGCTGAATAAAGAAGTCATGGTCATAGTTGATAAATCTTTGGATTCCAAGATTGTTGTAACCTTGGGCTACCAAGACCTGTCAAAACATTTTAAAACTTTAATATTCAATTCTTCTTTATCAAAAATCTTACCAAGACCTATAAGGTGATTGATGATGTGATGACTAAATCTCTTTTGGACATCAACAATTCATACTCTCTTATTAGTGTGTGTTTTTTTGTTCTCTTAGCAAGACCTATAAGGTGATTGATAATGTGAGTAAATATATTTTAGACATCAACAATACTTTCCCCTTCTTGCATCTTGAACAATTTATACTCTCTAATTAATGTGTGTTTTCTAGCTCTCTTAACATTAGTCGTGCCTTCATGAGTAATTTTAAGAACTTCCCACATTTTTTTAGTCAATCCACATTAAGAGACTCTGAAAAATTCATCCATGTTAAGAGCAAAATCAATGATATTTTTTTGCAATACAATCAAACTAAACTTTTTTCTTTTCATCATCACTTGCATACCAATCTTTATCAGTAACAAATGGACTTAATTCAATTTCATTCCATATGTTTTTATCATTTGATTCAATAAACATTTTCATTATAATTTTTTAGAATTGATAATCTGTTCCACAAAATAATTGAGGTAAGTTAATTGAAACCCCTTCAAAAAAAGGAAGTCTATTTTCAACCATTTGAAAATTTGGATCGAAAACTTAAATAATTTTCAAGAACCTAACTCTGGTGTCAGTTGTTATGAATACATGTTGAGATCAAGAGAGATGTGAATTGATCTTTTGAAGTCTTCTCGCAATTTTACAGATTATCAACTAAAGAATTAAATGAAATTAATATTTATTTAAAGCAATTGATAGAAAAACACTTAACAGAACAACACTTAACATAATAAGATAAGAAAGAAGAGAGACAAGAACACCAAGATTTTTATACTAGTTCACCAAAACCATCGGGTTACATCCCGTTCTCAACCGAGTTCTAGTTGAGTTCTACTAATCAAAGTTTCTTGATTATAAGATACAACCAGTAGAAATCCTATTTACACCAAGAACAACTATAACCGAGTTATTGAAATAACAACCACACTCTAGTTGCACAAATCAATGTCCAAGATTTCCAAACACCACTATAATAGAAACAAGACTGAGAGATACAAATTTAAATAAACATAGTAAACTAATGCATAAACCAAACACATGTCAAGTATCTTCAAGTAAAAGAACTAGAATGCCTCTTGTAAAAAATTTCACCAAGATTTTGAACGGATAAAATGTGTTTTTCTCTCAAAATG